TTAAATACCCTAGCAGAGTTTTTCCTGGCTTCATGTATTTCTGCTGGCTGAGTAAGAAGGGTTTTAATACTAAACAGTGTATTTTAATTACTTTCACCATTCAACTTCTGTCAGATAAAAAAAAAAAAGCCACATTTAAAAATAATACACTGAATTGATTTAAACGTAATTGTTGCAGAACTTAAAAAAAAATACAAGGGTTGGCAACCATTTCACAAGTCCTTTGTTGTTTCAGAGTTTAGCAGTTAAGAACAACACAAATACATTTTGTTTGTGGTGGGTCACAGGTTCAAAGAGACTTTGAAAAAATAGACTGGGGATAATTGGGTTATCAGATGCAGACACTGCAGGGAATTGAGCATTATCTCTTCTCAGTGTTAGGACTACTGGGTCACTTCCTTCACTCCCCAGCTTCATTCTCTGTCAGCCTGACACAATCCAGATGACTGAAATGGGCTTTTACTGGTTACCACCCCAAAGTTCTCCCTTTCTCCATCCTTCAACAGGTTGATTTTATGAGCCATGGCCATACTAAATAACATCTTGCCTTGCTTTCTCCCCCATTGATTCAACAGTCTTTAATTGCTTGGAACACAAGCCAGATCCTTGGATTCAAGTGAGTCTTCCTTCACCTTCAGCTGCTGTTACTCATTTCTATTAGACAACGTCTAACTAAGATATTGACTTGCACTTTGACATTGGCACTGCTACTGTGTTTGATTGCACTGTCAATCTAAAAAAATCTTTCAAACTAGCAGTAAAACATGTAATTGTTTAACTTCATTCTGCATAAGCTTCTCTGTCCAACACTTGCTTTCGTTGTGTAGCTGTGATAAGATCCTATACGTTGTATAGAAGCAGCTGATAGTGTACTAACTCCTTGTGCGCAGCATTAATTCACTATTTTTTTGAATATTTTATGGGCGCTTAGCAATACCTATCTACAATTATTCTCAATTAATTATGGCAGGACATTATATTTTTTTACACAATAAATTGGGCATATTTTTAAGATGCTCATTTGCTTTCTCCTGCATGGCTGCATGAGCTGAGTTCTTTGGCGAAGTGTGACTGCATTCATTGCTTGTGTCTTTTGAAGAAAAGTGCTGTAACATTAGCATGACTATTTTCAATTTATTATTATCCGTAGGACTCAGTAGTGTTGTGGGTAGGTATTGCTGCTCCTTGAGATGTAGTTCAGGCTGCGTAAGTGGAGTTGGCAGTCATGGTGTGTCTGCTAGTGATGTGTCCCCCTGCCCCAAAATGTGACCATTCACTGATGTGGCAATGCCATCCCCCCAGTAAAGCTGTGTTACACCAGCAGAGCACAGAGGAAGGGAGTGCACCTTTGCCTTGCCTACACTGTGCTTGCTTCCTTGGGTATGAAGCGTATGTCCCTGGGATTTATAGCTTTAAAAGATTACTACCTGTGTTAAAAAAAATGGCGTTAGTAAGCTGTAGCACTGTATGACTAACATCAAGTGGGATGCAGAGTTCCCACAGAGCTATTAAAATGCTGCAGAAACCCCTCTTCCAGCAGCTCTGTTGCTTTTCTTTCAGACCTCCCACAAGAAGAAACTGGGAGTCTCATGAAATTGTGCCAGCCTTTGTGTAGCAAAATGTATTAGGATTAAAATTAGATCACCAACATTTTATTCTCTAGTCAACACTATTACAATTCGAATTCAGAAATCCACAGATAAAAATGCGCAGATTCACTGAATTTATCTGTCCTCATAGATACTCATACCTGAAAATCCACTGTTTCAGAGAAGTTTTACTTTTTAAATTTAAGCATAATGTTCAGTAGTATTCAGAGGGAAATCCTGGGGTTTGGATCTTTTGCTGTTTCTTTGATGTAATACTTGGAACTCTTCCTTCATTTTCATTATTGGAATTGTTTTTAAACAGTTGAAAATAGCACTTCAAATCAATTAATCTTAAGTATTTCAGCTTAATACTGAGAATTTATTGTCATCCACTTACTTCCTCTCCATATTGAATGTTTAATGCCAGCTTGCTTGCTTATGCTTACTTCGTAAATTAGCATTATCCTCCCAGTATCTGCTTGTTTCTGAAGAATTATTATACAAAGCCTCATTTTAAGGAGGTCAGACCCCTGCATGATGATTTGTTGTTCATGAATCTACTTTGTGCCAATTTGTGTGTGCATGTGCAATCAGAAGTGACTTGGAGTGAGTGAGATAATAATCATCTGCTGCTGATATGAAGACTTCCTCTATTCGACTACCATGAATCAGGCTGATTCCAAGTGAATGAGATTTTAATCACCTGTCACTGCCGCCAGCACTTTCTCTATATTTATGATAATTTTTTTTGTCTTTTTATTGAAATCAGTGTTGACTGAATCAAGTAATCCTGATTAGCAATCTCACTGTATCCAGTCAAGAGTGAAATGCATCAGAGCATTATTGGTACACTGAACATACTGAAATTGAAAAAAAAAAAAAGGCTAGACTAAGTGTGTCAGCACGTTGTCTTGGTTATAGGTGAGAGCTGGAATGGGTGAGCTCGTTTTAATTGTTCCCCAACTTGAACTGTTACTCATTACATGTGGCTAACGCGGAACGGTGGCGATGTGCGGTGTCTGACTTGCAGCCTTGCAAGTTCTGCTGTGGGTTGGCTCTTCTGCTTTTAGTTACACCTCCCGAGTCCCCATGGGACAGGGAGAGTGAAGTCACCAGGGTGGCATGCATGGAAGTCATGGCAGCACGGGACAGCCTTCCTGAAAGGAGGCATTTTCTTTATCCAACTATTTTAATATATATATTATATATCATAGAATCATAGAATATCCGAGTTGGAAGGGACCCACAAGAATCATTAAGTCCAACTCCTGAGTCATCAAAGGACCACCCCCAAAAAATTAAAAAAATAATTAAAACCAAAATCAGATCATGTGCTTGAGAGCATTGCCCAAATGTTTCTTGAACTCTGGCAGGCTCAGTGCAGTGACCACCGACCCTGGGGAGCCTGTTCCAGTGCCCAGCCACCTCTTGGTGAAAAACCTTTTCCTGGTAGTATATATTTTATATATACAAATGTTAAATATATCTATATTTAAAGAGAAGAACAACAGTAAAACTCAAAAACTGTGACTTGGACCAGTGTTTTTGCAGATTGAGGTACAACCACTTTTATATGAGTTCCTACTTTTTATTTGCAGCAATATTGCTACCATGTGTCATAGGAAATCTCAGATCTTTTCCTGCTATGGAAGTAAACCCAGAACATGACAAATAAGTGCCCTCGCTGTTTTTAAGAAGAGTTATTCCAAGGGCTGTCCTTGCAGCATCGCGGTGAGGCCGGCAGCTCAAAGCAGGGCCATGGAGCTCCGCGCAGCATTTTCTGAAGGAGGCGATGGAAGCACAAAAATATTCTGGTTACTATTATTCTGAGCCTAAGCACACTGCAATTAGGCATCTCTATATTCAATCCAGTCCTCAAATCATATTTTGCTACATTACATAGTTATAAGTATCATAAGAAATTACACTGCTAATAGTACGATAACTGCAGTAGTGCTGGAGGGAAAGAAACGTGTACTAATGAGTACCTGGGCCTGCTCCTCCTAGTCCTGTTCCCTCAGTGTTGCTGGGGCTGGGGGTTATCTATTTATTTATTCCTTACATTTGTTTTCTTGTGCTTCTTACTTTTTTTTTTTTTTTCCTATTTATTTAGTATGGATGGAAATTCAGAAAAGGGTTACACCCCCTTTTCTTCCCCTCCTTTCTTAAAAATTTTCATGCACTCCTAAAAAAAACAAACAAACAAACAAAAAAACTCTAACAAAGACCCTGCCAATGCCATGGGCCTCTGCTCCCTGGCTGACTTGGCCTTCTTCCTCCCTCCCTTGTTCTCAATGTCATCTTCTCCCCAGCATACCCGTGCTCCAGTACTTTGCCATCCGCTCTCGTCTGTCACTCCTGGTTTTGCCACCTTTGTTCTGCTCTGAACATGTCAGCAGCCTTTCTGCCACCTTAGGCTTTCCAGCACCACGGCCATCTGACTGCTTTCCAGTGCCGTCACGGTCAGTCCTACGCTTCTCTCAGAAATCTTTTCCTTCCTTAGTTTTTGTCTTTTTGTCTTCCGTGCTAGGCTGACTCTTTTCTTTTGTCTTCCTTCCTGTCCATAAAGCTTTGTTTGGTTTCAGGCCTGTTTGCATGTGGTCTCTTTCACCCCAAGAGCAACAACTATCTGCTTGTGAAGTGATTTACAGCTCTGTCACTCGTCTCCTGGCTTGTTTTTCTCTGCAGACCTATACCTCGGTCTCTCTTTTGAATGCCTCTTTCAGAAGGCTTGCAGTAAAATTGAACTAAATGCGAGCAAGAGTTAACATCAGTTTCAAACTATTCCAGTTTCAGATGGTGTCGTTGGTGCCGTAACTGATCTCTGTCACCTGTGTCACAGCGCCAGAGCTGTCTTTGAGTACATCACTTTCAAGCTACAGACAAATTCTTCTCCCATAATACCTTTTTTACCTTTTTTTTTTTTTTTCTTTCCCCCCCCTCCCTCCTTTTTCTTCCATTAAAAGGAAGAATTCTTATACTGGGTCTTCTGCTTTCAGCAGTCTCTCTTCTTCATCCTTCTTGCCGTTTCCTTCTTCTGCTTCAAAAGGCAGTGAAACCCTCACTCTGCTGTTGTTCTCACCATAAAACCATCATAGGCTCTGTCTTACCTATTGCATTAAATACAAATCACTTTCCCTGCATTCAAGGCCTTTGCAATTTACTGATCTTATTTAATTCTACCAAGTGTAAGCCTTACCTTTTCCTCTGGCTTGTCAGCTGCACCAGCACTGCCAACAGCCGTTGTCAGCTTGTGTATATTTTAAGGGCAGACTCCTGAGTTCTTCCTCATGTATAAGATATGAAAATCCCCTTTTCCTTGATGTAAAATATAAAAACATTTATTTGTTCTCCTTCAGTTGTCTCCCCTTACTCACCTCGCTATGGTTATAGCAAGATGCAGATCAATGCCAAAAGGAGGGTAAGCCAAGAAGGAATTCTGGCTTCCTCGTTATTCCTGTGCTGTGAGAAGGGGTAGTTTGATCTGAGAGCAGTGGTTGTGGACACATGTTCTGAAGTTTGTGTTTCTGCCTCTGCCATCCAGAAAAATAGGAAGCAGGAGGAGTGTTGCTGCATACCCACAGGACAGGGAGGTCTGGCAGGGAGCTGCTTCTGACAGAGAGGGAAGGAACCGGCGTGCTGCTGTGCTTTCTGCTTCCCCTCCTGCCCGTCCGTGTCCTTGTCCTCATCCACTGTCCATGAACTTTCTGCTGCTCATTGACTCTCCATCTTAATTACAATTTTGGATGTAAAGTCAGGGTCTGGCTTCATTGGGAGCTTTCTTCAGAACTCAAACTGTGAAACCTTTGTCTGGACCGAGCCTTCTGGTTTTACCGTGAATAAAGAGCAGCTGATGAGCCCAGGTGTTGTCCTGTAGTACAGGAGTACAGTATGTATGCCCTGTAGTATTTCTCTGCATTTTTGTTTTCTTCTTTTCTACTTTCATCCTTTTGTTGTAACACCTACATACATCACTATACAGACAGTCTCTTTATTTTCTTTTAGTTATTTCTTATGGATACCTTCTCGTTAAGTCAGTGAGCCAAGTAAGCACCTGTTTAGTTGTTTTAATCCTTCAACAAGAATCAACTTCTTCACCTTTCACTTATTTTCCTGCCATCACTACACTTCTTCATTACTTCCAAAATAGCTTGCTGATCAGCTGCACATTCAGATTTATTAAATAATGCATATGACACGCATATCCATATGACATTAGTATCTGTACGCGTTACCTCTCAATAGCTGCATGTAAATATCTGGCTTACTACCTGAACAGTTTTTCTCCTGCAAAAGGCAGAGTTTCCCATACTTGTAAAGGTGTGTTGGGCATTCTCAGTCAGAATTTCAGGCCCTGATGCAGCCTACCTAGTGCTCAAAAGACAAGTTTAGGCAGAATAAATCTAAACAGAAATTAAATAAATTGCTTGATGCACGTCCGGCTGATTTCAGCAGCCTGCAGAAGTTGCAGTAAAGTTCCTTGTTTGTACAGTGGATTCGTACTGCTGATGGTGTGCTGGTGGCTGGCCACTGAGGGCCGTAACTGGGGCAGATCCCCAGTGTAGAATCAGTTCTAGTTATTTCTGAATTGTCATTAATTTTATTCTTTTCCTCATTTACTAATGGGCCTAGTTTCTCTCTCATCTTTTTATTATGTAAACAATAACATTAAAAGAACATTCTTAAGGCTGCAAAGGCAAGCATTCAAAATTTATAATAAAGGTTGCCCCTGCAAGCTTTGTTTGGACTCCCTGTCTGCACATTAGGATATTGGTTTTGGTTACATAATCAAAAACAGGGTTTTTTCCCCCCTCCCAACCCTTGCCTCATTCAGGACTATTCAGTACTGAATAGTATTGAATTCAGTACTGTTCAGTATTTTTTTCCTTCATTGTTCAGTGTGTGGTCCCGTTATGCCCAAGTTATTGAGTGCTATTCAAGTCCTGTCACAACAACGGCAAAACCAGCCCCAAATTCCTCCATGAGCATCTCACTGAGCTCATCACTGTTGTGTAGGTCTGCAACAGAAGTTTCCTTCTACAACATCCGTGTCACATGAAATTTTGCAAATGGGAAATTGAAGCAGGGAGAAATTAGGAATGAAGTAGCGAAGTGTATCTGTAAGTGCTGCATGGGAGATGCCTAGGATCCATTTTTTCAGAGCCTGTGTCATTATGTAGTATTTTATATGTCCTAAACACAGCTGTCGTTGACTTCAGTTGTAGCAATATGCACAAATCATAGTCTAGGGTTGCAAGTCAGGCACCCAAAAATGAGTCAAGCAGAATTATTACCTATGAAAAGTTTGGTTTAAGTAGACCTGGCTAGAGGTAGGTTTGAAGTGTCATACGGAGAGCAGCTAATTACCATAGGCGTCTTTCTTTCAAGCTTCTGACTTATCCTTTTCCCAAATTTTTAACATTATCAACAAGCTATCAGGTGGGCTGATTAAATATATATATATATCTTTAATTAATCTTTCATTTCAACTTTATGAGGAATGGTACAGAAAATCATTTTAGCTACATGATCACGCAATATCTAATGCTGGATGGTAAGGGGATAAAATGAGGTCCTTCACGCAACTTTCTAGGTTCTTAAGAAAAACCTAGATATGATTTTCCTGTGCCCATGGGACGTCAGCAGCCTTGAAAGATTTAAACCCACTGCAGAGACCTTATCAAGCTTAGCTGTGGAAAGAAAACGATCCCTAAAATTTACCAGGCTTTGTTTGCAGCAGAGAAGTGATAAGGTTGCGAAACGTTGCATCCTATCTAAAATACAAAGCAGGGTAGCCTAGTGGGAACATGTCCTCCTGCTCTTACTCCCAGAGAAGCTCTCTCAGCTAATTAATTAGCTTTTCCCTAGTTGAAGGCCTGTTGAAGAAAAAAAATATTGCTCTGACCCCTTGTTGTTTAGTCTGAGTATTCAGGAGGAATAGGAAGGAATACACTGCAAGTAGACACCCTGTAAGGAAGGGTCAACATTGAAAATAATTATTTTTACAGGGTTGGAAAAGAAAATAGAGGGAAAAATCAACCTGTACTTAGGATAATGGACCAAAAATAGCAGAAGGAAGGGGGATGAAAAGAAGCAGAGGGGAGAGGGAACGATGCTGTATCAAATAAGAGGACCAAATGCATGCAGATGAAAACAGATGGGGATCAAGAAGTGATGACCAGAAGTGGTTCCCATCACAAAGGGCTCTGGCTCTATGCTCTCCCTTTCTGCTCAGTACCCTCTTCCAAAGAGAAGGTGACACCAACGTTGCGTATTGGCAGCAGACAGATTTGAAACGAAAGAATAACAGAGGGTCTCAAATATTAGGAGGTAACCAGGAAACCATGAATTCTAAAAAAGACAGAGAAAATAAATGCAAGGAAGTTGCTGCAGTTATTAAAAGATAAGATTTATAGGCAAGTTCATTTCAGCTGGTTGGCTATCCAATCAACTACTGTTGCTAATTGGATTAGTTGCCAAAATAAGCTAAGAATAGAACCTTCCTTTTTCTTATTGTTAATGCTTTCCAGGCACAAAGTCCTTGTGGGCAAAAATTAAATCTTTATTTCTAGTAGCATAAAATTATCCTCTATAAAAATGAAGAACCTTAACACTTAGTAGTACCTCTTCTTCTCCAGACCTTACAGTGGTTAACAGTCTTCTGCAATTACAGTGTGCTGTGAGATGGAACATTCTTGTTCTCCTCCAAATCAAGTGGTTTGTGGCAGATGCCTACTATTGTTCCTCTGTATTTTGTCATTCTTTCTTGTCCTTTCCTGAAGAATTTCATTGCTACATTTTCCGCAGTTGACTTGCAGCTTTCTGGCAATATAAATACTTCTGACATAATGGAACAACCCTGGAGAAACCCTTAGGTAATTTCAGAGTGCCCCTTAATATGGAAAACCCTGAGCATCCCCCTATTAAGATTTTTTTTTTTTCCTGAAGCCAGCACAACTGTTTACAAAACAGCACTCTGAGCAGGAAATCTGTTTCTCTTTCATTGCTTTATAAAAGTACATCTAACTAATAACCTATAAATAAGTTACATATATAATACAGGCTCTGTGCTGTCCTCTGCCCTGTAAAACAGCAGAACCATTGAAATACGTCATACCATCTTCTATATTTTAGTATTATTTTATTCTCTGTGTTAATATATCCTACCAAACCAAAATAAGTGTATAGCTTGCTTTTCCTAGGCAACACGGTATGAACTTTTGTATAGGTTTCCCAGTGTAGCCCACAGTTGCCAACTTAAGCAGGTTGTTTCTTGGGAAGATCTATTATTCAACTAGCATTAACTCACATGTCTAGACAAACGATTAATTCCTGCAGGCTCTATCTTTAGAGTTTAACTTTAGATATTTACTTCAGCAAAGAAAAATCCTGTAATTTAGAAGTGGAAGTGTTCTGAAGCCTTTAATAAAACTTCATCGCAGGTGAAGGACAGGATCCTCACTTTGCAAGAGGATGAGACGACACCATCTGATGAAGCTGTATGTAATTCTCCCCAAAGGACAGAAAATGTTGTCTTTGAGTAATGCTATTGACAAGGAATAAACATAGCACTGAAGGTAGGATGGCTTCAGAGTGGGAAGTTTTACGTCCAGCTTGGGCTTTGGGCTGCTCACTCCCAGCTGCCAAATGATCGAGTTCATTGCAAACACAGCCTGAGCTGCCTTCTGTGTGTTGTGGAAAGCAAAAGGATGGTGAGCACAGGTGCTGAGCTCATGAACCATCATCCCTGCTTCATGCAGTCTTCTCTGTGTACATCAGAGAAGCTAAATTTGCTGTACCTTGAATTTAAGAAGTCTTTCAGCAAATTCTTTCAGATGAACTAAAGCTGATTCTCTCTTTTTCACTCTCCGTAATTTAATCAGACTTCCTGGATAGGCCAGTACTCATGCAGGTGGTGAACACATGGGAGTATCTCACAGTGACAGCCTGTTACTATCTGTGGAAATGATAGTTTGAGAACTGTGATTTTTTGTAATAATATGCTCATTTCACAGTCTTGTGTAAAGAACTAAATTAACTCGTGTTTTCTCCACTATGGTGTAAGCCCCTACTCCATTAACGAGGATGGCTGTTTTCATGAATGGATGGTGGTAGTGCTGAGCAGTATGCAGAAAAAATGAGCACAGGTGATACATACATTTTATACGTTTTCCAACGATTAGTGTCAAAGCAAAACACACTTTTCTAGACAGAGACTGGGGAACTCATTTTAGAGGGTAAACAAGTGAGCACAAAGCTCAATTCCAAAGAAACCTCCTTTAAAGTTAGGCTGAGATTTAATTCTAATTAATAAATAAATGATATTTGGATGATTAGTTTGGACTGCTTTTCAAGCATGGTGTGAAAAAATAATCAAAATGCTGCCTATGCAGAAACTGGAGCAGCCATGTCTGCCCAAGCACTCAGACATCCCAGAACGGTAGCGCTGAGAAGCAGCAACCATCCAATTCATCTCAGCTTTGAAAACTGAACTTGCAAATTACATCTCATGCCTGTCATCAAACCGTTATCAGCTTCTCCACTGCCGAATCGTATAGATATCAAGATACGTTTATCTATCCCAGAAATCCTGGCTCAGGTTAGGTGCCAACATGTCCACCTGTTACTTGCTCATCTGCTGGACTTACTCAGCTGTTCAACGGGGTCTTACAAATACATTCGAGTACTTTTGATTTGAAGTTCTCATCATTGCAGAACTTGGATGTTTATGCACAATGTAAGTTTTCATATCAAACTAATCAATAGGGAAAAAATATAAGTAGTATTAGAGTTTATTTCATATACTTGATGCTGTCACAGAGGCATTGCAATTACCCTGGAGACTTTACTGCAAAGCACTAAGAGTCTCGACTATACCTGATAGACAAACATCGCTCTTCACGCCCAATCAAAACCATCAAGGAGGAAGGCTGGTTGATTGTTTGCAGGTAGTAACTGAAATAATTTGTCCCATAATAGTTACCCAAAGCGGATCTCATCAGATAAAGCATCCACCTAACTATTTGATGTACACCTTGATGTGAAGTGGTTGCCCACAGTAGGGAGCCACCATCGAATATTTGTCTGGTTGCACCTACCTCTGGGCAGGACTCGTGGGTAGTTACTGGTGTATTCTAGTAAAGGAGAGCCCTCTGCAAACGCTCCTGGATAACCCAAAAGACTAAGAAACCCAGCTGAGACACATTTGCAGCTAAATATGATCCAGCTGTGTAGAACAGGGCTTATTATCAGAAAAGTTTGGGGAAATACCCAGAATGTCATGCAGTTCTACTAATATTAGCTTTAGCAACTCACAATTATAATGACTAATTGGAGCCATCACTCATTGCTATTGAGTTCCCAGGTGAAAACTATGGACCAGAACCTCCATTAGCATAAATTAGCATTGGAAAGTCAATTAAGTTACACTGATTTTTACACTAGTTTTACTGTCTTTTATAAGGCTGAGAGGAAGAAGCCTGACTTCTGGTTTTAATTTTTCATATATTTGTTTTCTTCCAAAGCAAATTATCATTACATTTTCAAACAGATCTCCATAAGCATACACATGTTCAGCTAGAATATAACACTGATATTATTTTGCCAGGTAGAGCAGGCTTGCTTAGGTGTTTTCTCTGATGTTCTGTGACTTCCAAGTTGATTTCAGCAGTCTGAATTGGTGCTGCGCCTCTCAGAGTTAGGATGCAGAGTGGATAAAAAAGCGATTTCTGTGAAGGGTCTCTTCTGTGGAACTTGCTCCCATTCCCATCACAGGAGTGGAGAAGGTGTTTTTTTTTTTGTTTTTTGTTTTTTTTTTTCCTTCTGTATTATGCATGTGTATGCAAAGTAGAGAAAATGGGAAATACAAAAGAAAAGGGTAAAACTATGCAATGTGATACAAACTGATTTAAGGAAAACAGAAGACGGTGGCTGCTTGCATTGTATTCATACTTTAGCATGGGTACCTAAATAGGTAGCTTTAAACCAACAAGATTTTTTGGTAACATAAATCTTAGTGGAAATCTGGCAAAAATGGTACAGAAAAACGTCTGCAGCTTGATAGATAGTGTAAATGTCAAACAGAACACTCTAAATTTTGCCCTAACTAAAAGTTATTGGAGACATTCAGGAGAGTATTCCTGAAAGGAACAGAGGCATGTGCAAAAACCAGTGGTTTGTCAGCCCTCTCATTCAACAGGGCTGTACAACTGAATAAGATCATATGAACTGCATGACAGGGAAAATACAAAAATCAATGGAAGGTAGACTAATCCAAGAACTCTTGAGAATTTTTGCCCTGTACAGCGCACAGGTACTCATTTGTGTTTTCATTTAGAACATCCAAAGAATAATAATAAAAATAATAATAATAATAAAAATCACACCAGCAGAAGGTTTTAGGTTTATTTTAAAACCTATCTTCCATCTGCAGAGATAGATCAGTGTCAGGCTGGCCCCGTGCCACTTTGGGACTGAACAAGAGAACAAGCCTGAGGTCTACTGAGTAGAGTGCAAGTGTATTTGACGTAATGAGAAATTCCCCGAAGCATAATTTTTCATTTACAGTGGCACCAATGTATCTGACCTGGTCCACCAGGATACGCTCATGCCAATTTTCAGGCAGAAGACACGAGCTGATTTTTTTTTTACATCCAAACCGTGCTTTTAGCTTGCTGTATCGCCACAACCCGTTCAGTTTACCAGAAGGGTTTCAGCCAACACGGTAGGAAGGTAGGTGGCAGCGGCTGCTGGCACAGAGGCTGCTTTGGTCGTGCTCTTTGTTGTTCACATCCTCGTTAGCCCGAGAGCCCTCCGCGGGACTGACTCACCCACTGCAGCCCCCACATCTCTTCCGTGGTCCTGGGCACCACTTTGCTTGTGATGCACATCCTCAAAGCCAAGATCCTTATATTTTTGCCATCCCTGCTGTTCCCACCTGTACCTCTGCCCCGTGTGGCCGCCTGCTGGGGGTGCCAGCCCCATGCTCCTTGCCAGGGCCTGGGCCCTCGGTGCCCCCGCTCAGCACTGCTGCCCCCTTCTCTGCCCTCAGCTCTGGTTGCAGCCATCGGGGACCAGACATGAACCACAAGGTGCTGATATCCACGGCTGTAGCACAAAGATTGGGGCCACGTCGCTCTGTTCAGTACTTCTCTGCTGTCCCAGCCCATGTAAGCATCCCTCCAAAACTCCTTGCTTTCAGTGAGAAGTTTTTCAGGCCGATTTCTTGCCTGCACCACTGCCAGCGAGGTAGCAAATGGCTGCAGTAAAATATTCTGGGCTAAAATATTTTCTTAGGCCTGACTTCTTAGCTCTCTTTTTATCCATTTGCGCTTGAATGAATGCTCTCCTGTGGAACCTCCACGTCCTCCAGGTATTTCCAGTCAACAGATTTGGCTGATACCAAGTGTCATATGGGGAGAGAACAGGCCTTCGTATTTGCTTCCTTTTGCTTTATTTCAGCTTAGCTGCTATTTTAGTTAGCAGTGCTGAGTTTTAGAGGCACAGTGTGTATGGGAGGGGGCCTGTGAGTGCAGCGGGGTGGCACAGCTCTGTGATGGAGGAAATGGCACTCGTCGGCCTTCGGACAGCCGGCGTCCCCAGCCCACAGCCCTTGGGAAAACGGATGTCTCTGCTCCCAAGAATTTCCCCATGTGGTTCAGCCAGGACTCTGTAGTGATGGGAGAAGACTTCTGTGGGTAAAGCCAGCAAGGACGGCTGTGTAGCAGTGCCCTCCTCCTGGCTGGGCTCCCCGGCGTGTCCCTGCCCCTTCACACAAAGGGGAGCTGTGGTGCGGCACCGACGAGGAGTTTATCGAGCAGTAGCTGGATGACGTTTGCTGCAGCACCGGGCGAGCAAGGTGCAGGTCCCTGGGTGCTCTGGCAGGCCTGGGATCTGCCCAGAAGCCGCCCCAGGCCCTGCTTCACCCCGCTGACGGGGTGCCCTGCGCGCACCTCGTATCGCACGCCGCTGCATGGTGGTAGTGCTGTGTGCGAGATGAGCGGGGAAACATTTCCGAGCGTGAGCAGTAAAAAAAAAAAAGGCCAAAACAGAGCCCATAGATGGTAATGACAATGTTTTGTTATCTTTATGTTGTTTTCTTTGCATGCTTGTTAAAAAGTGGAGTCAGAGTGTCTGAGACAGAGCCCTAACAAGTTCCTTCTAATCAGCCCCGGAATGCTTCTGTCAGGCACAAGAAAAATGCTCAGCTTGAACAAAGCTGCATTTTTCCCCCAAGAAACACATTTGTTTAAAGATTGGCCTGTCAATTTGTGAATCAACATTTCGGCTTTTTGCTCAGACATCATGCTTTTGCTTTTTTTTCCCCCAAGAAGGGGAAATAATACAAAGCTGCTATTTGTTGTTTGAAGGAAGTAAACTTCATCAGGTCGACTTAGATGTGTGCTTCAAATGTCACTCAGTACAGCTTTCTTGTAATGAAACGCTGCATACAGATTTCTTCCTTTAGGCTCAAGGGGATTAGACCCAGTAAAAGAAAAATTCAGTCTTCCTTGCTGTGGTGCATCAGAGTGAGAAGTTTAAAATCCACAATTTATTCAAATATTGATATTTCTACTTGTCAGAAGAGAGGTGCCTTGAAATTTCCACTGAGCACTGTTGTCAGAAGAATTGCAAGAAATGTGTCAGATAATTCATAAACGGAGTTCACTACTGTGAAATCAGTTGGGAACAGCAAAAAAAAAATATATTCTTGTCGATGTAGAATAGGGGCAATATAACAGAAAATAGCACTCACTTTTCCATCATGTCAAGCAAATGCTCAATTTGGGCCAGGTATTTTTTTAAACAGCCTGCTGCTTCTGGAAAGCCCACAATGCATGAAAAATGGTGGGAGTTGCGCTGCGCAGGCAGGAGCCGTGGTGGTGTCGCTCCCTCCGAGACGGTGATCTCCGTCCCTGGGCCTGCTCCTGCATCTGGTTTGCATTACGGCCCTAAAAAGCTGTGAACGACTGGGGTAATGATGTAAAGCACCAGTGTAAATTCCAAACTGTTGATAGCAGTGAGTGAAGCTTAAGAAATTTTCTTCGTATTTTTTAACCCCCGCCATGTGTTGAAGTCATCTACTCCTTCCCTTTGAGGCCGGAGGAGCAGAGGGACACAGGCAGCACTCTGCATACTTGCAATTCTTGTCTGTGCCTAAAACTTCTTTAAAAAAAAAAAAAAAATTGTCCACGATGCCCCTAATGCTTTGGGTGTTGCTGGAGATCTCCTCGCATCTGAAGGCACGTGGTGAGCGGGGCACGGGGCCAGGGCTCCGCGAGGAGCCTGGGTGGCAGGATGCAGGCACCAAGCCCCAGTTCCCACGTGCACTGGGCTCCCAGTTCCCCCAGTTCCCATAGTCACACCTGAGCACAGGGTTTGTAGCGGGTACCTTCCTCAAACACCTTCTGTCTTCCGTTTCACACGTTCAGAATGCATTCTCTGTGATTTTGCTGCACTTTGGTTTTAATACCTTTGAAAAGATGGAGGAGGTACTTAAAGCTTACATGGATATTTTAGAAATACCCTTCAAATAACAGGATGATAGCAGTCTTTTATTAGTTGGTATAAAAATAACTCTAGCATCCTTCCTAGTGAAGGCATTACAGTGATCACTTTCTGTTTTGTTGTTGTTTTCTTTAAATTCAGCATATAAAAGGTATCTTAGCCTGCTGTTGCATTTCTGTAGAGGAAATTAAGCTAAATATGGCAAAATTTGCCTCCTTCATGCCATAGTCAAGGTGCAAGGAACAAAGGGGCTCGATTCGACCTGCAAATTGGATTTGTAGAAGGCATTTTTCTGTAGGATTTTGAGAAGTAGCAATTCGGAGTGCTTCAGTGGGCCTGGCTAGGAAACCCCTCTTAGCGAGCTCATAGATATTTACCCTCACATTTTCAAACCGCCTTATTTCTATGTGTGAAGTGGAAGCCGTTTTCTAATCCCCGTTTCATTAGCCTCCCGCATCCCTCGCTTGCTCCAGAGTGGACACTACAAGACACTGACATCTTTGGCTCGTTAGAGCATAGATGCCTGCAGAAGCTGACGTTTTCCACGCCTGCTTGCAGCCTATTTTTCCTTTACACCCATTGCTTACTGTCTGCTCGGTGTCTAGGCGAATCTGTCATCTGTGCCAGAGCACAGCCCGCTGCACCACTGACAGTAAGAAGGTAAACGCTTGCTGCCTGAATCCCCCATTAACTTTGTGAAGCGTATTGATTTCTTGTAAAAATAATGATATTGACAGGCTTTCCAGGAGTAATTGTTTCCAGAGCACAAAGGTCAGCGCTGAGAGTGAAGGGTTTTGGAGCCGGGGTACTCCACAGACATTTGTGTAAAGTGCTGGGGGATGGCTAGAAACAAATAGCAACAGTTTGAGACTTTAGAAATGTAAGTACATTGACAAAACACCTCGTAGGGGGCTGGCAGCGTTATTGTGCTCACGAGTCATTAATAGCAAACAGCTCGGCTTGGACAACATCATTGCGTGGCATGTGGGCGTTTGTAGACAAACAATAGCAATAAAAGTAGCGGGAGCCCGGCGGCTCCGCCTGGCGCGGATCGGCTCCTCCCGGGGGGCTGCGGCCGGGCCGGGGCCGGGATCGGGACCGGGTTTGGGGTCGCATCCCCCCGACGTGAGGGACCG